TATGCAATTCGCACTGCCTTGGGGTGAGTGGCAATGCCCATCATCTACAGATGTCTTGCACAAAGCCAAACCAGCAAGCTGTACCCACCCACTTTCCCTTGTCCAACAGCCATAAGCTACACTGCTTGACCAAGGTAATAGAGGTCACCTACCTACCCACCACCACCCATCTCAATGGCAACATAAGCTAGCATGCTGCTGCTTCATCTGTCCTCTGAGTGACAGGTGGCAGCAACACACTGAGCATAGCTGCTCCCACGTAGGCAGTACCTATAGCCGAGCAAACGCCACTGAAAGCTTGGGAACCAAAAAGCAGTTGAAACAAGTATTCCACTGATGCCAATTGCGACACTGTGGTTATCAAAAGCCAGAACTGCAAACTCTTCAAAACTTAAGATGAAGATAAAACCACTCAGCTGTCTTGCAGGTCCCTAACCTCACCCTGTAAACTACTGAGAAAACTCACCTTTGCTGGACACACTTAGGAAGAACTTCAGTGATGCCCTATTTATTTTTTGATTCATCCATTTATTCATTCATATTTACAGCCCTCCCTTCCTGCAAGTGGGATCAGGGCAGGTAACTATTGAAATATAGGGATATTTCTCAATTCTGGGGGACGTTTTTGGTTGCTACTGCTCACAGCAAATTCCAGAGCACACCAATAGCATCCAAAGGCATTCATGTTAGCCTTTGTGCTTAAAAGAAAAGGAAGAGAAAGGGGGAAGAAGAGGGGCTTACCTGCCAAAGTGTGTTTTTCTTTGGAGACTCTTCTTCATTCTGATCCTCCATTACTGATGTGTTCTAGGGAAAGGGAAGGGAATATTAGTTGAATTATCTCCTGGATCCAGCTTTAAAATTCATGTAAATAAAAGTCAGAAAAGAGATCAAAACAGCACATTTATTCTTAATCTATGGGCCACCTGTAAAAAGTGAGCACCTGATTACTGACCCTTGGCATACTTTTGCTTAACTAGTAAAAGCAAGGAGAAAAGACACCAGAAAGAGAATTCCTTCTAACAGTAGTTCATTTGGGGCTGGATTTTCATGCAAGAAATACTGGGACTGCGAAGTTACTAAAGAGAAATAAAGGTTTAAATTGGGGGAGGGTCCCCCCCAAAAAGGTTAACATAATAGAAGGCTTTTAAAATTTGTGTGTGTGTGCGCGCACATCCATGCCTGGAAGTCATGGCGACCTCTGGAAGCTCCGACTGGGGCCTGGAAGGCATTCAGAGAAGTGGCTTGATAGCCTTCCTCTGCCTCCTGATCCTGATATTTTCTGGAGGTCTCCCATCCAAATACTTGCCAGGGTCAGCCCTGCTTAGCTTCCAAGATCTGACAAGATCAGGCTTGTCTGGGCCACCCAGGCCAGGGCCACAACAGAAGTTACTGAACTCTAAACTGGGGTCAATGAAGGACTACCTTTATTAAGATCCTTCCCTTACACCATACTCTCCTATTCTGTGGCTGGCAAATTTAACACATTTAATGATTTATTACATGCACACAAACACCGATGATCAACAAATCTGGCAAAGGGTCGTGCCGGGCTACCCTACAGAACAGCAAATACAGTTCCAGTGGAAAAGTGTCTCCCACACACACATACACACACACTCTTTTCCAGGCACTGCCTTGACTCAGTGGGCCCACATTTCACAGAGTGGCTGCTCAGCAGAAGCAGGCTAGTGACAAACTGCTTGACAATTAAAAAAAATAATCTAAGGGATGCCAAATGGGACACTAGACTTACTGTGATGTTGTTTGAGACTGACAAGGACATCCTGGCCCATTTGGGTACTCCTCCTCCTCCCATCATCCTGGAAGGCAGGAACTAGATTGCTCTTTCCACACCCAATGGGGAGGGGAGTGCCCGCCCTCTTCAGATCAGAGGCTTCCACAGCTCCTAAAGAGACTGCTCTGTGTGCCTTTAGAGCAGTGGTTCTCAACCTTCCTAATGCCACGACCCTTTAATACAGTTCCTCATGTTGTGGTGACCCCAACCATAAAATTATTTTCAATGCTACTTCAAACAACCCCATTGCCAGAGCGACGCGTAGCGTCATGTCCTGGCGACGGCGGGTGTAACATGTCTCGCTGTCCCCGCGGGAGGGATTCTGCAAAGAGATGCGATCCCCCACCGCGGTTTGGTGAGACTTGGGAGCCCTATCCTAAGACCATCGAAAATTTGTGTTTTCCGATGGTCTTAGGCGACCCCTGTGAAAGGGTCATTCGACCCCCAAAGGGGTCGCGACCCACAGGTTGAGAACCGCTGCTTTAGAGCCTTCCTCCGTTCCAACCTTCTGAAACAACTTGGTCAGGAGGACAAAACCTATACCTTAACAGGAACAAGTAACAAGTACGAAACAGAAAGCTTTGGTGGGTCCAGGATGTCCTCCTCATTCTCAAACAAAAGGAATCTTCATGGTAAGTCCAGTGTTCCATTTTCGTCTGAGATGAGGAGGGCATCCTTGTACATTTCGGATGTTACAAAGCCACGTGTCCAATGGGAGGATCCCAAACGCCATCTACACCACCTGCTGCAGCACCCTTTGGCCGAGGGATGCATCTGCTGCTGCCACAGTGTCCATTTTGTAATGCCTGGTGAATGTTGACTTGGATGCCCAAGTCACTGCTTTGCATGTCTTCCACTGAGGCATTTTTATGGAAGACTGCCATGGTAGATGCACTTCTGGTAGAAAGTGCCATGATTCCTTCAGGCAGGACGGTGCCTTCTGATGAGTAAGATACTGATATGCACTCTTTCAGCCACCTGCTAAGAGTAGCTCTGAAAACCTTTTTGCGCCACACTACTAGGTGATATGCCATGAACAAGGCCTCTGGGTTTCTGGTTGGTTTAGTTTTTATAACCTACATACGCAAGGCCCTGCGCAGATCCAGTGAATGCCAGTTTTTTTCTTTTGGATGTGATGGACTAGGACAGAAGGATGGTAAGAATAAGAATAATTCCTGTGGTCTGTGAAAGACTGAATGTACTTTAGACACAAAACTAGGAACTGGACATAGGAAGATACATAACCCTTGGCAACAGACAGTGCTCCCAATTCAGATATTCTTCTTGCTGGTGTAATTGCCACTAGGAACAGTACTTTAAGTGTCAAACTTGAGCGATACCTCTCACAGTGGGTCAAACAGTGTTTAGTCAAAGCCTGCAGCACTATGTGAAGTCTCCACATTGGGATCCTTGGAATCGCCGGTAGATTGGATAATTCTGCACCCTTAAGGAGATGTTTAACTACTGGGTGCCTAGAAATGGGGAAACTTCGGATGATTGAAGCTAGGACTGTTACTTGTCTACGTGTGGTGTTTCGTCTAAGACCTTATGACAAACCATCTTGTAAGAATTGAAGTACTGGGGGGGAAACATGCTGACTGTGGTTGGCATTGCTTCCACCTACACCATCTCACATATGCCTTCCATGTATAGTCATATAGATGCGATGTAGATGGTCTATGTGCAGATAACACTGTGTGAACAACCTGCTCAAAAAAACCTTGAGCTAACCACATCTGCTGCTCAGTTTCCAGATGGTCAGATGTAACCATGAAGGGTCCAGGTGTGGGACAGACCCTGCATTAGCATGTTCAGAACTACTGGTAGTTCCCATGGTGGTTGAGTGGAGAGGGCTACTATACTGGAGAACCATGGCTGCCCGGGCCACCTGGGAGCCACATATATGACTTCCAACTTCTGTTTGATTTTGCATAGCATTTTGGGAATGACTGGAATCAGAGGGAAGGCATAAATAAGACCTGTTGGCCATGGTGCCATCAGGGCATCCACTTGTTCCACCTGAGGGTATGCAAATTGGGAGAAGAAATTTGCTAATTTGGCATTATCTCTGGTTGCAAAGAGATCTACTTGTGGGCAACTAAAGCAACCCACTATCTGTTGAAATAGGTCTGGTTTTAGTGCCCACTCTCCCAGATCTAGCTGCCTCTGCTTAGCCAGTCTGCTTGGATGTTTAAGCAAGCCTTGAATGTGTTCTACTCTTATCAATGCTATGTGGGTTTCAGCCCACCTCATTATGAATTCTGCTTGCTGCTGTAATGATCTTGATTTGGTCCCTCCTTGGCAATTTACATGTGCTTTGGCTGTATGCTGTCCATTCTTATACTGACATTCATGTACTTCATTTTCACTTGAAAATGTTCTAGGGCCAGGCATATCATTCTTAGCTCCAGAAAGTTTATGCTGTGTTTGGATTCTATTTTGGTCCATGTGCCCTGTACATGTTCCAGTGGGCAATGCGCTCTCCAACACACCAAGTTCACATCTGTAGTAATCTACATGTCTGCAAACCAGTAAAGTGGTTTTCCCCTGGTGAGGTGGTTCTTGATCATCCTCCAGGTGAGGTGCTTCTTCAAAAAATTGAGTATGTTCAGTCTGACATGTTGTTTGAGGGCAATGCGTCTTTGATATGGCAATATCAGCCACTGTAGTTCTGAAGAGTGAGCCCTTGTCCATGGCACAGAATCGACTACTGCAATCCTCGTAACTGGGCTAGCATCATGAGGTCCATTTTTTTTTTTAACCATCTGAATTATTTTTACTGCCTTCACTATTTTCTGTGCCCTTTCTGGAGATAAAAGCAGACTGCCCTGTTGAGAGTCTATGGGCACGATCACATGCAGAATTAGCCGTGCCATAGGCGTGAATGCCGGGCGGATTTTAAGGGCATGATCAGACGGCAACATCTGCCAAGCGTCCCGCTCCCGTCGGCAACCCGTTTTGCTCCACTGTAGAAGCGAAGTAAAAAGACACCGGGGAAAGCCGGGAACAGGAACAGGAACAGACTTCCCCCAGTGTAATCATGCCAGCGCACTTCCATGGCGTCGGGATGGTCTGATCGGGCCATCCCGATGCCATGGCGCCCCCCCCCATTTCGGGTGACGCCCCCTCGCACACTACATAGGGAGTACTCAGTGCAGAGATGTGAATCATTGATCCCTCATTGAAGTGCATCGGAAATACGCAGCAACCCCCCTCCCCGACTTACCTGCGATTATATGTGATCACGCAGTGGCGGGCTGCCCCTGCAGCTCCGGCAAACTGTGTGATTGCGCAAATGCGGGTCAAATTCCTGCAGAGCAAATACCCTCACTTCTCCCACACACACATTATCTCGTGCGTGTGAACGCTGCCTATGATTGCCCCCAGATGAAATATTGATTGCGATGGAGACAACTGACTCTTCTGGATGTTGATCAGGAACCCATGATCTGTGAGGCACTGAATGGCGATCTCTAGATCCTTGGCAGTTTTTGTGCGGGAAGTTGAATTGATTAGAAGGTCATCCAGGATGCACATGGCTCCCCTGAGCCTCAGGGGAGCTACTAATGGAACAAGGAGTTTCATAAATATTATGGCAGCAGATGCCAGACCAAAAGGCATGGCCTTGTATTGGAAATGGAGCTTTCCAAAGGTGAACCTGAGGAAGCAATGGTGTGCTGGAAAAAATCAATACATAGAGATATGCTTCTGTCAGGTCTGTTGATGTCATAAACTCTCCCTTCTGTAGAGACTCTGAGATAGTTCTCAATGTTTCCATCTTGAAGTATCAGTACCACAAAAATTTGTTCAAGGGTTTTAGATTCAAGACCACTTTCCAGTCCTCATTTTTCTTCAGAACTGTGAAAAATATTGAGAAAATTCCTGAGAACCTTTGTGATGATGGTACTGGCTCTATTGCATCTATGTCCAGAAGGTGATTGTGTTGAGAGTACACTGTTATTTTAGTGGGCAGTTTGAGACTGGGGACTTCAGGAAGTGACTGGGTGGC